ATATTTCCGTTAAATTAGTGTATATACACTCATATAACCCTGTCTTTATAACCATATTTCCGTTAAATTAGTGTATATACACTCATATAACCCTGTCTTTATAACCATATTTCCGTTAAATTAGTGTATATACACTCTTAGCTTAGAAATAATAACTATTAGAGAAAATGCATACTCTATAATAAATGTGAAATTGAAAGGCAGTCCTTTTTAAAGAAGTCTGAAATGTTACACAAAACTAGGCCGTTAGAAAGCTAAATATATAACTTCATTCGTCATTTCGAGGTTCACACATTAAATACTTTAAATTATTTCAAACCATTTAGTGTTAAATATACTTTAAGTAAAGTATGAAATTCTTATAATTACTAAATATATACTAATAACAAAACAACCCCAAAATTATGACCTTTCAAAGAAATCCTAACGTGGGAGGGAAAGGCATACACATAGAACCAACTCGTAGATCCCCACGACAGAACACGACAAAACAAACAGTAAATTTCACTTCACATACACCAAAGCACGTGGTCCATCAAATGGGAAATGACGACATAAAGGATTGAAATTATTACTTTTTTTTTTCTAACAATATCTGTTATCTAATACTCCAAAAGGAAATACCCCATTACACCCACTTGTCTCTCTCTAGTTCCATGACTCTTTCAAACCAACTCTGCTGTTGTGCTAATAATCCTTATAAAGCGATATTATACAGCACTACGTCATAAAGATTGCAGGATTCGGTAAAATAATCAAATCCACAAATATTTAGTTTTTTTTTTCATGTGCTAATCACGACACCTTTATAACAGTGCTTAAAACTCCACACTCAGTGTTAATACTTATAAAAAGGTTTGATGAAGTAATAAACGAACTATCAAGAAATAAACAGTAGTCGCAAATCATTAAACATGTGTGTTTATGATTGAAAAAAAAACTGCTTTTGAAAGCTAATTCAACTCCTGTTGACTTTATATATGTTTACGAAATAAATAGATAAAGGACCTAACATGATTTCTTAACTTAAAAAAAGATAAACTCCTACAAATTACCATCTCCAATTTTAAATAATGTAGGGATGCTCGGCATGGCACATTGCTGTATATTTTGTTCTTATTTTAGACGTTTGTATTGCTGTTTGGCCGTACGGGGTTTTCGCGTTTCATGACGAGCGCATGGCTTAACGTCTAGAATAATCACCACAGTTTTCTAGTCAGTGATGTTCCGTGCAAGAAATTTTCCCATGTGCTAAGGAAGTTCGGGTTAGAAATAGTTAAAAAATAATCCACCTGGTTAAAAGTAGACATTTGCAGTAAATTATGACGTAACCGATTTATCCAATTTAACTCTCATCGTATTGAAAATTTCTTGTAATTAACACTTTAGAAAATCGCTGGAATTGTACTCCTGCATAGCATGTCTTGACGTGTTCTTCTAGCTAGTACGAGCACTGTTCTTATCTGAACGGGGAAAAAAGTATATCACATAGATAATGTACACGTATATACAGGCTACGTCACATTACAGTTTTATCTCCGTAGAAATGACACTGTAAATAATCCAGATAAGATTACTCTAGAATAGGTTTAGTAGCTATTAAGCAGTATATAACGGTGTTTTTCTGGTTAAATATCACCAGATGTGGCATTGTTCTGGTAAAATATTATTAGACGTGGCATTGCATTGTTCTATGATGTAGATGTTATGAAATCAGGATGAAATAACACAGTTAGGAGACTGTATTGTGAAGTTTTTCTCAGATAAACAACAGCCACCAGGGATGAAATACTTCTGAAAATTTGTATGTTTTTCAAAATAATTTAACAACGACACATGTGTAAAACATCTATTTACAAGTAAAGATGATGTCATAGACATCGAAACAAGTCCCTGTTTTTTAATAATTATTTATTGTGTAGTATTTGAACTTTGTATTCCTGTTAATTGTAAATAGATTGTATGTTTTTTTTGTTTAATTTAAAGGGAAACGTGCCATTCGACATATGTCCACCAGGTGATATTAGAGTGTTTGTTTCGTATGACGTACATAATTATTTCATTGTTTCCACGGTAGGTGTGCTCATAACTCGTTTGTAGAAGTGTAGTCTGCGATCGAGTCTACTAATTTGAAACTAAAACAAGGAAACGAGGCCGGCGCCAAGGGGGGTCCTTGCCCGTCCAGTTTAGACCCTATACCCCCTTACCCCAGTTGCAGATTCCAAATCTTTACACGAAATTGATGAGAATACAAATCAAAAACTAAATCGAAATACATCTAAAGCTAAACATGATAATAATAAATAGCTCACACGTGAAGGTTTCTAGCGCCTTAATAATAATAACAACAATAATTAAACAAATCCGGGAAAAGTTCATTTGTATGGATATTTCATAATAATGCATTGTCATATAATTTATTAATTAATGTAATAGAGGTGAATACGAATTAATTGATTTAGGTTACCGTTTCCAATATCTTCTCACCCTCCTAAATAAGTGGGTACACCCATAGCGCACATTCCGTCGCGGGGACTGATGGGGAATCACTGTCTTACCACTAATAACACCATTTCAAAATGAAAGCTTTGTTGATCTCCAACTTTTGGTTTCTAGTCGACATCCTTCTTACTTGGCTTTTAATTATTTCTCCCCCCCCCCCTCCAAATCACTCGGAGCTCTTTCGTGTATAAAACTCTTATTATTTGTTTTACTTCACAATGGCATGCAATTTCGCATGGTGACCTTTTCTAACCTCTGAGTGTATATCTTGCAAGTGTAGACAAACAGTAAGATACACGATAAATGCCCCCAATGGCTAAATGGTAAGTGTGTAAACTTACGACGCTAAAAAACAGATTTCGATAACCGAGGTGGGCATAGCACAGATAGCCCATTGTGTAGCTTTGCGCTTAACACGAACAAACCAGGATAAAATAGAGGGGACACTCAGTAGAGTGTATACCTCCGCCACGCAGCATTGATCACATTCGGCTCTCAAAAAAAATATGAAAATGTGTCAGTATATCCGTCGTTACGAACGGACACGGACCATTTTTGGCACGACAATGAGTAATAATATTTTACATATGTCCACCAAATTTCATCAAAATCCGATCATTTTTGACTGAGTTATAGAATAAAAATAGTGTGAAAAATTGGTCCCCATGTCAACAGATAGGGATATTTTGGATTTCCTTGACCTTGGTGTGACTTTGACCCTCCAAAAACAAATCACTTTTAAGTTGGGTCATAGTGCAAAGGTATATCAACTTTTAGCCGTTTTCGAGAAATCTTGCTGCCAAACATGCAAACAAACGCACATAGGGTGAAAATATAGCCCCCGTCCATTTTCGGTGGCGGAGGTAATTATGTTCTTTCCTCAAAGTCTACAGAAATCACGTTGTAAAACTTGTGCACGAATCGTTTACAAACGTGTTGGAGTTTTGAGTATAATGTTGTTGTTGTTTTTTTTTTGGACAAAACAACAACAACAACAACAGAATCGTTTGCACTAAAAATCAGCGATACATTTTAAATAAACTAATATTAACTTTCGATCAGAGTGAAACTAAAAATCAACATTTTTCTACTTACGTTTCTACTTACGAGAGCTTTAATGTAGTGTAGACACCGACAATTGGCTACGACTAACTGATGTGGTAGTTACACTCAAATGTGCAGTGAACTACTAAAATAATAAAACTCAATTGGAGTATTTCATACTTAACAGTATGGCCACGGTGGTGACACATGCTTAATGGTGAATCAATATCCTTCATCATTACGACAGCTAGTGTACGTGTTTGCTAATAAGAACAGCATTGTCGTCGAATAGAGAAATGAGAAGACGATCCCTTATTCCACCAAGTAATTATTATTCTTAGCATATACTTCTCAAGGACTTTGATGTTAATGGATATGACGCCACAATTGTCATTCCTAATAATTGCGAAGATAACAATTAGATGTTCTGTATCGAGTCATGACACTTACAGCATTAAGTCGCCTGTCGCAACATAAAACTAAACTTTGCAAACTGCTAAACCTTTGTTTAGCTATTAATGTGAGTAAGAAACAGGTGAAAAAGAAACACGCTTTTCTTTTTACTTGTTTACCATGTTCAACGTATCTCGTGACACACGCAAAGTCACGAAGTTTATTCACGTTTGCTCGAGGCAGAGACGAATTATTGCGTAATCAGTTTCTTCTTCCCTTTACTGTTTTCTACTTTCATGCTAGCTGCTAAACATTCTCTTCATGCTAGCTGCTAAACATTCTCTTCATGCTAGCTGCTAAACATTCTCTTCATGCTAGCTGCTAAACATCCTGTTGTTCAGTTCCGATTTTTAAATGCGGTAAATCGATTGTAAAGCTCCTCCAATTGAACACAATTTAATAAAACAGAAACAGTCCTTTTGTTTCAATCAATACAGTCACGCGATACTTGTTTAAAATTAATGGTAGACAAAACGCAGATCCCGCCCAAAAGATTCTAACAGGTCAAAATTACATCAATCACCACAATACTTGTGAAACATGCAAATCAAAACTTAGGTAGAACAAAATAACTAAAATTAATATTTTATTACATTACTTTGCCCTATAAAACACGTTTTTAGTCATCGTCAATACATTTATTTTTATTTAATTTTTAATTATTTTAATTAATCATTATTTAATAATATTTTCCTACCATTTAAAATATTCTAACAATTCAAAAAGCTAAAAATTTTTCGATCTTCCTTTTTGGTATTGTAGAAAAAAAAAAATGTTAAATATATTTAGCATTATTGAATTATAGATAATATCCAATAGAGGGCTAGTGTATAATTTAGGCAAAGTTAGTGTTTTTCAATTCCACACCTCTTACTAAACATTGGGTTTACATCACATTGTAAATGTTTGTTTTGAATTTCGCGCAAATTTCGAGGGCTATCTGCGCTAGCCGTCCGTAATTTAGCAGTTAACACCGCCAACTCTTTTACCAACGAATAGTGGGACTGACCGTCTCAGGGTGAGTATGTTTGGTGGAATGGGGATTCGAACCCGCGGCCCTCAGATTGCGAGCGAGTATGTGATAAAAATTGCTTTTAAAAAGAAGATTTTAAGATAAACTATCACTTTTTTTAATTATAATTTTTCGTGTAATTAATTCAACTTACAAATTAAAATAAATGATTTTCTACGTGTATTAAGGTAATGGACCTTGTTTCTATTTGATGGTTTTAATACTATTTACGATATTTGTTTTCTTTACTATATCATCCCTAATTTTATTTTATATTTATTACACAGTAATTATATTTAATTTTGAATATAATTGGAGGTTTGATACAATTAAAGTATTTTAAGTTTTACTTGTTTTATATACTTGGTTTCATAGACTTGCATCACTGAATAGTGACAAAGAGGTTTCGAAACCGGTTACGTTTATGGTAAAGAAAGTAAAATACGATTTTTGAACCAAAGAATGTAACGAGAAAAAATCTTTACTTATATATATATATAAA